CAGGCGTGAGCCACCGCGCCCAGCCCATGAATTACTTTTGCACAGTTTGAGTCAAAGTTATAAGTGTGTCCATCACCCGGATTGTGTGCATTGTACCCATTAGGTATGAATTTACTCATCCCCTCCTCCCCCCTCCTACCTACTTGATTTTCGTTGAATTTTACTACTATATGTACACATGAGTGATCAACAATAGGTCATTTGATCCTTAAATAGTTCTATAAAGTAGGCAAAGATTATCATATGTTCTATAAATGAGGAAACTCAGGGATAGAGCTAGGTTTGAAATCCAGATCTTCTGACTCCTAGTTCAGTATTCTGTCCATAATCGATGGTACCTCTTACGTACATTTGAATAGCCCCACTTTATTAATGGATTTAAAGAGGCAAAACATTTGTGTGAAATAACAGAGTACTGCCTGTGAAAGCAAGAATTCCATCTAAGACTTTTTTTTTTTTTTTTATTTCAGGGTATTATGAGGGTATAAACATTATGGTTACACTTTATGTCTTTGCCTCACCCAAGCTAGGCCATCTAAGTCTTTTGATTACACAAACATGTTTATGATACCCATTAATCATTCTGAATCTATTTTGCTTCCAATGTAGTTAATAGCACTGCCCTACCATTTTCACTTTCCCAGTTCAAGAGTGTTGGGAGATTAAGGCCAGGCAAGCTATTTACTGGAAGAGTAAAGTAGGAAGCATTCTATGTAAGTGGCAGGAACACCCAGGTATGGGTACCTGTGCATGTTCTGCTCCCTAGGTTGAAATATGACGCTTTTCTTCTCCTGGTTAATTGAAGACTCGGCTCAGGTGACACTTGACTCAGAATGCTTCCCTGACACACTACCAAACTACCTCCCCTCACTCTGTGCCCCTTCAGTGTTTCTATAAGCCCCAGCACTTTATTCTAACAGTATTCTTCCCACTGTCTTTTAATTGTCAGTGTTCATCTATTTCTCCACACCAGACTGCAAGCTCTTTGAACATAAAGATTCCGACTTATTTCTCCAAATCTCTAGCACCTAGTAGAGGATTTGTCATGCAGTAGTCCTTCAACAAATGCATCTTTTATAAGCAAATGAACCTCAAGTACTTTGGCTTAGTGAAGCAGCCTAAGCTTTTTTGGCTTTACTGACTTTCATGGTGCTAACTTGAGAGCTTCATAGCATTGAACTGCGGCTTATCTCTGACCTCTGAGGAAAGTGCTTTGTAGAGGAAGGAGCAGGGCCAAAGCCTGATTGTTTCCCATTTAGTGGTCATTCCTAGTAATTTCTCCTCTAACATGTTCGTTAGACACTTTGGGAACTAGTTGAAACTAAGGAGGAACAGGTTATGTAAGTAAATTAAAAGCCACTTTTTGCATACCAGCTGTATTTTTTTCCCTTTAGCATATGACTTCAGTTTAACTTAAAACAGAGCTAGATGATGTGTGTGTGTGTATATGTGCATAATAGGTGTTAAAATTGTTTTGATAATGGAAAAGTCAACATATGATTGAACAAGTACAAGTAACTTTTACATTGCAATACATGAGTCCATCTCAGAGGTGGTCCTATAAATCTGAAATCTGTAGGAGTAAATTTTGATTTGTTAGTAATTTAATAATTCTAATTTTGTAAAATATTAACTGATTTCTATGGATTTGTAAAAGGGAAATGACCACTTTATCTGCCACTTTTGAATCTTTGATCAAAGCTTAACTACTCTTTGAAAATGAAATACTCTCTTTAGACTCCCTGGAATGAAATCCTTCTCTGTTTTATGTGTATAAATACACACACACACACAATAGTTTGCATATTCTTTTCTTTCTACTGATTGCTCTCAGATGGACTTGTCTATGTGTCCATCTTGATATGACTGAGTCCACCTACTTGAAATCTTTCTCAAGCACCAGTTTCTTTACAAATTTTTAATTATAAATGTAACATAAACATAGCACAATAGGGAAATAATATGTAATACCAACATCTTAACACAACAGTTGTGATCTTTTTCAAATACTCCCTTTTAGTATTTTTATATGCATATTTTTATATACTTGTAATCATAATGAATAAATTTGCAACTTGATTTTTTTTAAAACAGTTCCATTCTTTTAAAACTTGGAATGTGTCTAGAAGAGTATGTATATATATTATATAAATATTTCTGATGCAGGTATAGGAATGTAATAAAATAACTGATGGCATCAACTATGGCTTTAAAATTGCAGACTGCATTTAGACATCTGCAATAACTACTAATTTATGTTTTTATTCTCATGAAAGAAAAATGAATTTTGTAAGACAGGTAAGCAAAGAAAGAGAAAAAGAAACATCTAAGCCTCTCTACCAGCTATGAGGTTGAACCTGCTTAAGTCACACTTGTCAACTAAGTTATAGCAGTTCCTTATGATTGGTATCTCTCGTGGTTAACAATTTGGTGTCAACCTAGGTAATATTTACTTTTCAAGATTTATATAACTTGCTATTTCATTCAGATGTCAATATTTATTTTCCTGGAACTTTTCATGGAAAAAATAGTGACCTCAACAGTAAGGAAACCAAAGTGTTTCTTTTCTTTTGGCTTACAGAGATTCTCAACATTAGTGCCTTATTCATAAAATTGGCACATTTTATAAAGACACATTGGGAAGGCAGAAAGTTTCTTACATCTGCTCTTCATAAGTGTCCAACACAAACGCCACTTTGGATTGGGTACTCTTTGCTGCCAGCCTGGTTCAGTGAATTAATCAGAGGCGCCCTTAACCTTTTTGGCTGTTTTATTTGGTGAAGCAGGGTCAATGACAATGACTTCTTTTGTCATGTGGTAGACAGATATGCAGAGCTTCTAGAAATAGTGCAGACTGGCATATTGGAATGTAGTTATGAATCGTGCCAATGAACACGAGGCTTTTTTGCTTGATTTTTAATCCAAGGCTGACTTTTACTACTCTGCCATTTAAGGGCCTCCTTTTCAATTCCCAGTCATGAATAAGGATGTGTACAGGGAATGATAATATTAGAATAAAAACAATCTGAAAGTCAATCGGATGCAAGAATATAATACACACTGCAAGTTAATTTTTTGGCTTAATCACAACATGGTTCTTCCCAATACTACGGATAAGAGAATTGACTCAGACTGTTTTCAAGTCAGAATTTAAACAATATTGTTGTCTTTTTGGGTTTAGCACCTCCTCATTCACCCCTGTTATCTCTTTTATGGGAAGGTTGGTGGTGAGGCATATGAAGATGACAGTAGAACATGTTCCGGAAATTGAACAATGAGGAGGCTTCTGTCATATATAGGGCGCACCTAGATTCCGCAGAAAGGAAATCTAATTGAAAGGGCAAGGTTGCCATTTTATTTTTAACACAGATCCTGGCACATGGCTGGCGCTCTCTATTAATTGAGCCTTGGGTGCCCAACAACGTGCGCATGGGCTGGATGGAAGTTGGAGACTCTGTTGCTGAACCCTCGGGACCGATGGTCTATAAAAGAAGACAAGACTTCTACACAGCAAGATTAAACGTTAACCTTAGCCATCAGAATCCGTTAATTCCAGGAACCCTTAATTTCAGCGAAACCTTCGCGACCTCAGCCCTCGCTCCCTCTCGCCCAAACGCCGGGTCGGCCCCATTAACTGGGGGCGGTGGCAAAGCCCTGGGCATCGGTGAAGTTCTCAGTGCAGCGCAGATCGGCGACCTTCTCCCTTCGCACGCCCGGGCTCGGCGGCGGCAGGACGCTTCCGGGAGGCTGGAGCCCGCGGAGCGCGGGCCGGGCGGGGCGGGGGAGGGGCGGCGGCGAGGCCGGGAGCGTGCGCGCGCACCTCACACTCTGCCGCCCGGGGACGCCCATTCGCGAGTCGGGGCCGGTAGGCCGGCCCGCGCGCCATCGCCATCCCCCTTCACGCTCCGGTCCCTCTCAGGCGTACGCCCAACGGGCATCGGACCCGCAGCTGTCTGCGCTCACCAGGCCCAGGGAGACAGGGGACGAAGACCGGGCCGCAGCCCTGCGCCGCGTGGGCGCGCTGCCTCTCCGGCAGCCGCCGCCAGGGCGAGTGGCTGCGAGCCACCGGAGGCAGCGCGGAGGAAGCCCCCACGGCGGCCGCCGGCCAGGAAGGAGACGGAGCCGACCTCTGCCCGCCCGAGGCGCGGCTGCTCTCGCGCGCCCGGGGCCGCCCGCCGTCCCGGGGCTGAGCGAGGAATGAGCAGGCGCCTGCCCCGGGCTCCCGGAGCGAGGGCCACGGCTCGGCTTCTTCTCACGCTGCAGAGGCGCGCGGGCTCGACCACTGCGGCCGGGAGCGGCGGGGTCAGCGGCCGCCTGGCTGGGGGAGCAGGCGCCGGGGTTAACTGAGCCGGCCGCGGACGGGAGGAGGAGCCGGGCGGGGGCGGCTGCCGCGCTTCCCCTCCCCCGCACACGCCGGGGCTTCTCAGTGGCCGCCGGAGGAGGAAGTTCCGCTCCCTGACAGACCCGTGCGGTAGCAACAGCGGCGGAGGCCGAGGCGGCTTGCGGGGCTCCGGTATTTTGGACGCGACTACCCTTCGCGCCAGCCGTCGAGTGGGCAGCTGCCCGGAGTCTGCCAGGCAGCGTTGGGAAGCGCGGGCAGCCGAGAACTCCTTCCTGCTACTTCACCCAGCACCTTCGCTTCAGCTTCCCGGCGGAGTGGGGGACCTTCCTCCCTGTTTGCAGACTTCCGTGGAGACCCTTATTTTTCCACTACTGAGGATAAAAGATTCTGGAATAGAAGAGTCAGAGGAGATTAACCATCTGCAACTCCTTGGATCTCACCAGGCTCCCTTTTGGGGGGGAAGACCACATTTGAGCATCTCATTGAGATGCAGGAATGGAAGAACCCACCTTGCAGCTTCTCTGCAGTGTGGCTTGCCTAATTTACCCCTAGGAATGAAGAGGAGACTTGTAATAACCCGAAAAGGCACTGAAAGCCAGATGGCAAAGAAGATATCACAGCACAGACTAGTTATCGTTTGGGAGGAACACACCCGTTTCTGAATGTAACTGGGCGAGTGTAGAAGAAGTGCCCTCTTAAAAAGCACAACAATCCTTTAAGAGGAGAGAAATTGAGTTTCCCCATTTTTGCCAGGAACTTGAAGACAACTCAATGTATTGTTCATTTGCTGTAAGATGAGAACTTTATAAAGTATTCTGTCCAAGAGCGTAAAGGATGACTACCCCAGCCCTGCTGCCCCTCTCTGGACGTAGGATACCACCTCTGAACCTGGGGCCGCCCTCCTTCTCGCATCACAGGGCTACCTTGAGACTTTCTGAGAAGTTTATCCTTCTCCTTATTCTTAGTGCCTTCATCACCCTGTGTTTTGGGGCATTCTTTTTCCTTCCAGACTCTTCAAAACACAAACGCTTTGATCTGGGTTTAGAAGATGTGTTAATTCCTCATGTAGATGCTAAAGGGGCTAAAAACTCTGGAGTCTTCCTGATCCATGGACCCGATGAACACAGACACAGGTTTGTTTATCTCAGAAGTTCTGGTACTCATATTTGGCAGAACAAGGCACAGTTATTGCATCAAATCTGTCTTTTTTTTTTGCAGTGACATGTCATTTTCTCGGAGTCGTGGTAAGAGTTATAATTCAAAAGAGCTGAGTAGAACTATAGACTGGAAGGATCCCTAGAATCCCAACTAAAGTCCAGATCGTTCGTTTTATATAAGAGAATCATTTGTGTTCAGAGTTGTGTCTAATGTGGACAATTGGGAATGGAGGTATGAAAACATAATCTAAAGAAATAGTGACATATGCTTGCACCTGTATTTATGAAGAACGACTTGCATTCAGTCATCATGACACCGTGTGAAACCAATACATTCAATCTTGACAGCGCCTTTGGGTTTGTTCTCCCAAAGGGCTCTCATTTTCTGGCTTGTAGTTGAAGCTTAGTGGTGAATCTTAGATCTTCAGGATGACAAACATGGGTAGAATATACCTGTCATTTCTTAACATGTGAAAATATCCTGAGTTTTGTTCATTTTGTTGGTGTTCTATAGGGAATCAGTTAAGCTGAAGATATCAAATCCTAAGTCATTTCACTTTGTGAGGCTCGTAGACGAGATTTAGTTATTTTTTTGAAATTAAATTTTGCTCCCTATTTTTTTAATGTGAGAGATGGACTGTGTGAAGTATTAGAATTTGGTCCATTAAGGGGTTCACATTCTTCTAGATCACCAAATCTGAAGGGAGTTCTTGGGAGAGTATAGCCAAATTAAGATAAAATGGAGCACTAGTTACAATTCTTTTAAGTCATTTGTATATTTTTACTCAAAAGAAGAGTTTGGAGAAGTAGTTTACTTTCCTCAAACCTACCCTCTCCTCCCAATTTCTTAAAATAGTTCTTGAGTATGTGAAAAAAAATTATATGCTTGATTTCAGTTTTCAGATGATGTTAATTTTAACTTTTTATCAAGCACACGGTTTTTGAAAAAGCTTAGGTTCAAATGTGAGCTTCAGTTAAATTCTTGGGAAAAAGCGCTGCTTTAGGGAGGACTCATTTTTTTCTTAACTTAGTTAATTCATTACTTGATTCGTTCTTGTTTTGGCTGAACCTTATGGAGTGATTACTTCTAATATTGTTTTGTACTATTCATTTATATCTAAGTTATTTTGGAATTTTTGCCATTTTCAACTTCTGTACTCTTGGATTTCTTTTCTTTTGCTCTTTGTGACTTCAAGGAAAATCTGATATTATCTGTGAAATATGTTATTGAAAAATTAACACTGAAAGTGCAGTTTTCCTTGAAAACCTTATTTCCCATGGTGTTTGTATATAATTTATGATGAATATTTGAGGAAACGTGTTATTTAAGACTGGCTCCGAGCTTTTTGACAGTAGCCATGCATTAAACATTATTTAACTCTATCATTACAGTAATCTGTCCAGTTTTTAAAAAAAATATTTTGTGTGGACTAAAAGTTTAAGAAATATAGCTACATTCTAGTTTAAAAACATTTACATAGAAAAATTCTGAGTTAAGTGGAGTTAAAATATAAAATTTGTATGAAAATAGAGATATGTGCGTTTCATTCACATTTTTAAAAGTGTGCTTAAATCATTTAAAAAAGAATTCTTAAATTTATGCAGCTCTTGAATATATTTGCCTGTGTATTTAGCTATCTAAAACTACTGGGTTCCTGAATTTGGAGTGAGAGATTGGTTGTTGAGTTCTTATAGCAAGGCTTGTGGGAGTGGTGAGTGAGCCAAATTCTGAGTTTTGGATAGTAAGAGCCTGGATACAAGTGATACCTGTGAGGATTTATTGGAATCTGTTTGATTCCTGAGTTTTGAAATTGAGAATTCAGATTGTGAGAGATCTTTATGTTATCTTTGTATATTTCTGTGGTTATGTCAGTTAATTTTTATCTTTGCTTAATGTGGTATTTGTTGCTTTTGTATGTGAAAACGTCTGTAGTAATAAACAATTTTTTTTACTTTGAACAAGGAAATACAGTATAAGTTTAAAATGTGAAAACACAAAACATTAAGTTAATGTATAAATATTAGAGATAGCATTTTTACAGAATTAGTTGGTACTAAGATCATACCTATTTTGGGTGTGGGTCAAAAAAATCTTTCTTAATTTAGGAAATACAAATTGACAATTTATCTTAATTGTGTGTATGTCTGTGTATTTAAGGGTACAGGATAGAGGGATGAGGAATGTTACTTTAAGTAATGGAAAATAAATCATTATTAATGGATTAGTTTAGTATAGTATTTTGGTGTTTAAACACTGGGATCAGACTGCATGGATTCATACCCTAGTTTGCCACTGATTCAATGTGTGATCTTGAGCTAATTTTTAAACTCTGTGCCTAAGTTGCTTCCTCTGTACAACAGTGGCATCTACTTTATAGTTTGTTGTGTTGAATGAGATAACACATGCAAAGCACTCAGCATAGTTCCTAGCATTAGTAAATGCTCAATAAATGTTAGCAATTATTGGTGGTAGTAGTAGTAGTAATTAAAATTGTAATAGAATATTTTAATTCTAGATCTGCTTTGCTTTAAATACTGCCTGTGTTTCTGAAAAGTTAGGTAAAGTTTGATTGATATTTTAAAAGTACACCGGAATCTTACTGTCTAAAGAAACATTTTGTAACCAAACTAGTTAGCAAGAAATATATATTGCATGCCTGCTATGTCAGGCTCTGATTTATGCAGCTTACCATCTAGGAGAAGATGATGGACATTAACTAAATCATTTTATTTTGAGGTGTGATGAGTGTTACAAAGTTGTACTCAATACTGTCTGATCCCATGAACGGGGTGACCTAGCCTGTAGAGTGGAGGTGGAGGGAGCAGTGGAAATAGGGAACGCTTCATGGGGGAAGCATGGCTCAGAAACACAATGAGTAGGAGATCATTAAGTGAAGTAGAGATGAGGGTTGGAGGGAGAAGCAGTCAAAGCAGAGAACCCATGTGAGAGCCCTAAGGTAAAAAAGTGTGGCATCATCATGGAGAGTCTGAGAAATGTTCAGTATGGCTGATGTAGAGAGAAGTTCTGTGGGGTTAGGTAATGAGAGTTAGATGAGAGGTCAGATTTGGCCTGCATGCAAGTTTTTTTGGCCTCCTTACCGTTATTAAAAAACTTTGAATTAGTTGTCAGCATTCACAGATCAGGAGATTTTACATGAAAGTCTGGATTTTTGATTTCTCTTGAAAAATTAGAGAATATGGCAACACCCAAGTCTGTATTTTGGTCTTTATCCTAAGACAAACTATGTGAAGACATTGAAGGGTTTTAATAAAAGCAGGGGGAATGACATGATCCTTTTAAATTTTTAAAAAATGTAAATAATCACTTTGGTTGTAGTGACTTTTGAGTGGAGAGAAGTAGGAGGGTAACAAGTTAGAAGGGTCTAGGTCACAGAGGATATTGGCTTAGATCACAGTGGTGATAGTGGAGGAGAGAAATTAGTGGAGAAGAGTGGTTGATTCAAGAGATGTTAAACTATTAAGCTTTACAGATGATGGTGGTTGGTTGAATATGGGGGCTAAGGTAGAAGGATGAGGGAGTACGGAGTAACTTCTAGGTTTCTGGGTTACTAATGGCCATGGATTACTAAGAAATATACACTACATTTAATTTAATTTATGCTTTTTCTGTTGTTGTTCTTTTTCTTTTTTGTCTTTACTTTTCCCAAGAATCATGGCTCGTTGGATAATTTATACTTTAATGTATATAATTGATATTACATGAATTTAGTATATTTTCATGAGAAACCAATATATTCCCTTCTATTAAGTAGTTTATAAATAATCCAGAGTTTTAAAACAATACCTATTTATATATACACACCTTCTAGATGATAATGACATGAAATGTATAATTTGGCATTGATTATGATAATATTTTAGTATCTGTGACTTTTGAAGTACCCCAAACAGGAATTGATTATAATATAAATGAATGTTGTTATAATATACACTGATATACATAAAGTATCATGTTCATAATTTGTGTATATAATAGACCTAAGTAATTAAAAATCTTTTTTTCATTTTTTTGAAACTTATGTTTGTTTTATGTAATGGCATTATATAAATGGGCTTTGTGTTTTGTTTTTTTTTTAACATTTACTTGAACAGCTGTAGATTTCATCCTCTCTGGGCAGGATTTTGTTAGTCTGAATTGAATACATGAGGGCCAGGTATACATTTACCTCTTGATAGTTTCCTTAAAGGGAATGAAATAGACTTTGGAGTCAGAAGGACCTAAAGTTGCATCTTGGTTCTCCTAACGAGTTGTATGACATCGTACTAGACATAATCATTCTATCCCCATGCTGGCCAATATGGTAGCCACTAGTTAAATACCACTATTGCACTCAAAGTGTGCCTATCCTGGTTTGAAATGTGCTTTAGTGAGACTTTCTCAATTTCTTCGTGTCACGATTTGTGTTTTTTTTTGTTTGATTCAGTTTTGCTTTTTATTACAAGAGTAGAGATTTTAAATCTCTATAGCAAATTTAATTTTCTTGCCATTTTTCCTTATCTCATCCCTTTTTAATGCCTTTTTTTCCTATCCTGTTCTTTACTTAGGACTTTCTGTTCCTGTTTGGGGGAGGTCACTTTGTTTTATCCTCTAATACTGCGGTCCCCAACCCCCGGGCCGTGGCCTGGTACCAGTCCGTGGCCTGTTAAGAACTGGACCTCACATCACTGCCTGAGCTCCGCGCCCCCTGCCCCCATGGAAAAATTGTCTTCCATGAAACTTAGAAACTGGGGGGCCACACAGCAGGAGGTGAGCGTGAGCAGTGGGTGAACAAGCGAAGGTTCATATATATTTACAGACTCTAGGCTCCCAGTTGCTCACATCACCGCCCGAGTGCCCTCTCCCGATCCCCCTCAACACCCCCGTACCCCTGTCCATGGAAAAATTGTCTTCCATGGAACCGGTCTCTGGTGCCAGAAAGATTGGGGACGACTGCTCTAATAAATCTCTTGGATGT